CAACCGTCTTCAACTGCCTATCTGTTCAAGCCAGCCACACCAGAAATGCCGCTCTATCAGCTCACTCTCGCAGCATTCGTGGTGCTCAGTGCGCCAGTACTGGGGCAACTTGGGCCACGTAAGCAATAGTATATTAAATGAAATGAAGATACCGAGTAGTTTATTAGTTCTTTTTCTCTCCCTTTCTCTCTTCATGTACATTAACACATGCTGCGCAACGGCCGGAATTATCTGAAAAATTTCGGAAAGTTTTACGGGGTGGAGTTTTTTTTTTCAGCTTTTTATAAAAAGCCCACTCATCCTTTTACCAACACAGTAGAGAACAACGCACCAGCATCACACTGGTATGATAGCTGTAAAGCGCTGGTGTCACCGAGGTTCATCGAAGACAGTGGCACCACTAATGACAAGCCACTCTGTGCCACCCTAAGTTCTGGGGTCACACTTTCTGTCTCCAAGCTCAGCTCACTGTAGGAGATTGTGGCGCATATTCACTTCCTGGCCATGAAAAGGCATTGCTGTCAACTTCATTTTTAAGTGATTCCTTTCACCACATCAGCAGCTTTCCCACTGTCCAGTCTTGACGCATAACTAGTCCAATCCTTTTTGCTGGCATATGTTACAACTTCATTCACGACGGTCTAAGCCACAACATTTCACGAGATGTACTGCAACTTCCCTACCACCGGCTTTTTGGGTTCCACTAAATTTTTCTCAGCAAGCGTGGTACTCCATTTTTTTCAGCAAAAACTACAAATTCTCAAGGCTTTTAAAGCTAAAAGACCACAAAACTCGACTAAATAAAAGTGTTAAAATAGCTATTTAAAAGAAATGTAATTAAACACAAATTATCTGGAGGCACAAAAAACCTCACATCCTCTACCATGAAAAGTATTCTGTTGAAGACTTTCATGTTAATAGAACTTAAAAAACATACGGGATTTTTAGTAGCTTACGCATATTTTATGCCGAGGAATTTACTAAATTTTCCTTGCGCCGTGCGTGCCCAAATAGTTCTTTTGACTTAGTTTCCCCATCAAAAAGTGTTTCGTTTGTAAAAAATCATCAAGTCGTTGTATCTGTTGCAATTCATCCAGTTAATTTCTTGCAGCTTGCTCGGAGGATAGCGACTGCTCAGTGAAAGAAATTTGCTTCTCTCTGGACCCAGATGCTATGGGCAACTGCATTCCTGATCCAGAAGCTGCAGATTTGCCAGAACCAACACCAGGGGCAGGCTCGGATACGGGTTCAGGAACAGGCTCGGGAACAGGTTCAGGCACAGGCTCAGATACTGGCTCCGGTTCTGGCACAAGCACCACCCAGTTTCAGCCACCCCGTAAGTTTTCTTATCGTCAAACTGCAAAGATGCTTGATCAACAGCTTTGTAAGTGCTGCTGTGACAGCTCAGGCTTGTAGTGTAGGAGCCCGAATGTGACTGCTGACGCTGGATGTCCGA